CCACGATTTTAACTCCACAACGGAGGATATCGTGCCATTTGAGGCTCAACTTCAAGATGAATGGGCTTCCTAGTTTCATAGCCAATTTTAACTTCACGACGGAGGATATTGGACTCGAAATAATACAACTTACTTGGATTTAAACTTCACGACGAATGATATCCAACTCAAAGAATGAGTGTTTGTCAATAAACTTTCCAGTTTCAGAGTCAATTTCAACTTCACAACGAAGGATATTGGCCTCGAAACAACGCAACTTACATTGGATTTCAACTTCACGATGAAGGATATCCAATTCCCAGGCTCAACTTCACGATGAAGGGGCCATATACGATTCCAACTTCACAACGAAGGGTATCATACTCCAACAGATCGGTCCAACATCACAACGAATGAGTCATCAGTAACATGAAAACACTGAAGTGTTCGAGTCAAGTTACAACTCTATGATGAGTTCAATTTCGACTTCACGACGAAGGATTTCGTGCTCAGAATTTTCCAGTTTCGACTCAACCTCTCGACGAGGGAGTCATTTCATGATTTAAAGCAGTTTCAGTATTGGATTTCAACTCTACGACAGAGGACATCTGATATGGATGAAATTTGTGTCTATTAATCTTTGCTCTATTTTCGTTACACGATAATGAGCAAAGAGGGGCAGCTGTAGACACCCAATTTCATCCAATTATATAGGCATGACATTCATAATATTTATGTATATATATTATAATAAGCACATATTACATATCGTTAATATATTATATTATATGTTTCAGGTCCAAATAAAATAGCCCAACAGAATAATCTGGTCCAACCCAGGCCCAAAGCACGTGACCAGCAGGCTAGGGTTTTCAGAACCCTAACTTTATCTTCTCTTGCTCAGCCCTCAGCGCCGCATGCCCCTGCTGCATCAAGCCCAAAACTACCGCCGGTTCCCTCGCCCCATACAACCAGTCTCCTCGTGTTTCAACAGACACAATCAAATGTGTTAGTAGGACTCATTCACAACCTACAAAAGTAACATTTTAATTTGTATAAGACTCTAAAAATAGCCAAAATTTGAGGCTATAAATACATGTAATCCATATCATTTGTAACACACGGTGGATATACGAAATACAAGCACACATTACACAAAAATTACGAGCAATATTAGACCAAAACCGAAGCATTCTTTAAAGTTTTCGAAAGTAACAAAAGGTAAATTTCATACATTTTAACGTTTTGCTTGCATGTGTGTTCCTTCTTCGTCTTTTTTTTAGCTCGAATCAACCCAAAAAATTCTTTTGACCGATGAATCTAAGGGAGTTTCGAAAGCTATCGTTTTAGATCTACGCTCCCCATAGGTTTTTTTTGCAAAAACAAAACGTGTTTTTAAACCGAGGGCACAAAGAGCTTTTAAAAAATTAAATTTTTTTGAGTTTTGCCGCCGATGAACGGTGGCTGGCGCCATTCAACGGTGGCAGCGAGGCAGCGCAATGGTGGTCGGATTCTGGGTTCATGAAGAACCCATGGCCATGTTCATCCGTTTGGATGAACCACGCAGAGAAAAAAGAGAGATGGGGGGAGGCTTTCGGTTGAGAAGAGAAATAATGAAGCTTAAATTTTTTTTGACTTATATAGTCATCCCACGAAACCCGTTTGTCGACCCGACCCGTGTCACCAAACCCGCTTGTTTTTTTAATAAAAGTGGGTAAATCACTCTTTTGGTCCCCCTATATTTTCAAAGCCTTATATTTTAACCCTAAATCGACATTTAAACCCCAATTTCATTCTAATTTGGTCACTTAATTCGTATTTCTTTTCAATTTACCCCCTGAAATTTCAAATTCTCTTCGAAATACTTTAAATTTTGTCACTCGGTTTTCCTTTTTTATAATTTGGTCCTTTTTCTAAGTTTTAATTTTAATTTTTTTATATTACATTATAATATTTATATATATTTTATAGTATTATTATTATTATTAGTTTTTTATATTTTATTTTTACATACATGTATTATTAGTATTTTATTATTTATTTATTCATTTTATATGTTATATGTTATATTATATATATATTATTTTATTTATTAATATTTTTCTATTTTTATTTATATGTTATATTATATATATATATATATATATATATTATTTTTTTAATATTTTCTATTTTTAGTCCACAAGCTAATATACATATATATATATTTTATCTTCTTTTCCCTCGTTTTTGTTTATTTATTTTATTTCTATTTTTTTATTTATTGATTTATTATTTTCATATTTTATTTATTTATCTTTGTTCTTTATTTATCTTATTCTATTTTGTCTTTATTTTTATTCATTTCAGTTTCACTATCTCCATATTAATTATGTTGTTTGCTTTTTATCTTTATTTTATATGTAGTTATTTATTTATTTTCTCTTCTTTATTTTACTTTCTTTATTTTCAATTTATATTCATCACCTTTGTTTTTCTAACGCTTTTATTGATTCTTTAAGGGTACGTTTTCAAAACGGTTAGATGTAAGTAATTTGGATAGTCATTTTACCTTTTAATTTAAATTTACAAATTTCTTAATTAAAGACAATTGGAAATTACGTAGTACCGAAAGGGCGGTTCAATGGTGTTAATCCTTCATTGACCGTAACCGACTCCCGAGCTAGACACATTTCTGGTAAGACGCATATCAGGTAAGAAATAAGGTATCCGATCAACCCATTTTTTAAAATAAATGATCGGTGACGACTCCTAATTCATTTTTCTAAGTCGAAGCCCAATTCCCAGACTCAACCGAAAGACGGTCCCGACAACTAATGAGGGCAATGGCCCTCCCTAAAATATTAAAAATAATATATATATATATTAAATTTAATTTTATAAAAAAATATATGATAAATTATTGAATTTGGTTATTCGAAAAAATATGTATATTATTTTAAAATTTGGAAACTACCAAAATATCGTTTATTAGAAAGAATTAATATCTATTTATTATTATTATTATTCTTATTATTATTATTATTATTATTTTGTTTTTAAATAAACAAAAATCTATTTTTCTTTGTTATTTTTTTAATTTTAAGATACAAAAAAGTTCTTTGTATTTTTTATATTTGGTTCTACATTTTTTTGAGTTGATAACTTCAATCAAATTATTAAGTATTTTATTTTAATTGAAGACAACTTTTTTAAAATTATTTTCAATTCAATTAATATTTATAATTTTATATATATATATATATATATATATATATATATTATTATGTAGGTTCATGAATTTTCATCTCTAAAAATAAAAAAAACGATGACACAAATTTATGTATACAAATTTAAATTTTATTAAATTTGTATATCATGCGAAATTAGTATGAACTTAAATTAATATATATTTTTAATTATATGCTATAAGTTGCGTGAAATTATGGACAAACACAAAATATTAGATTAATATTGATTCTTTAAATCTTATGTGAACGAATAAATCCTAAATTTTATATTTTTTATTAATATGATATTTTAATATATAATTTATATTAGTAAAAATATTAAAATATTTTAATTATTATTATATATATTTTTTTCAAAATGACTCTCGTTGAGTCCGCCACCACAAACAGAGAACAGGGCGGCAGATTTTATGGCGAGGCTTGGAACAAAATTGGATCAAGGCCTGCACGTGTACTCAACTGTGCAACAATCTGCCCCAAAAACTACTATGCGGCCAGACTTCCAAGGAATAATTATTATAAAGGACAGCTTGGTTTCATTACCCTAAGCATGTGCTTTGTAATTAATCTTCGGGTAAATTATGTTTTTCATCGCTCAACTTTATTTAAGCCTATATTATTATCGAGATACGCACAAATCGTATAATACAATTAAAGGTAAATTATATGTTTAATATTTAAATTATTAATTTTAATTTATTTTAGTATTTAAATTTTTAATTTTTTAAAATCGTAATTAAAGTTTAGTTTTTGTTTCATTTTAGTATCCGTTCAAAATTTAACGTTAAGTTTTTTAAAAAAATTAAAAGTTCATGTACTAAAATAGATCAAAACTGATAGTTTATATATATAATGTGTTAATTTTTTAACAATATGTACTAAATTGAAATAAAAATTAAACGTCAGTTATTATTTAAAAAAATAAAATTTTTAATACTAAAATAAATTAAAATTAATAATTTAAATAATAAAATAAAATTTATTTTTATCGAAAAACTGAATATTACCTTTATCGAATAAAATGAGTTCACTAGAAGGTCATTGTTTTGTTATGATGATAGTTGCCGCGTAGAGCCGCCCCATTTGCCGATGAATCAGTCAACTCAATCCTAACAAAAATATGCTCAGCTGGATCCCATTGCCTAATTCAATTTCAGAGGCCCAACTCCCATCATTTTCTAGTTGCACACAAGTAAAAAATTATATAGAGTTATAGGTACAATAGTTTTATATAAGATTAAAAAAAATACTATCTAAAATATTATAAATAAATATAATATTTTAGGTTATGTGTAATCTAAAATATTAATTTTTTTTATTTTTTCGGATGTAAATCTTCTTCGTAACATTTTAGATTACAATCGAAAATGTTTATTTTTATAATATTTTTAATTCAATTAAAAATGTTAAAAAAATTAACATTTTGTTATATTATTTATAATATTTTAAGTTATATATTTACTTAATTATATATTAAATTGTTATACCCTTTGATCACCCAGAAAGTATATCACATTGTTTGAAGTACTAAAATTCAAAGTCAAATACCTAAGCATTTCAGTATTCTGGAAATCAAAGTCAGAAACATTTGGCAGATGAGACTTTTATTAAACCAGATGGAAATTGTATGTTTTGTCTGACATCTTCCTCTAAGTATCTTATCCATTGGTTCATAGATTCAAACAACGACGTGTCAACCACAGATTCAAGGTTCTTTCTTTTTGGCAACCAACCTCGGCTATAAATACATCTGTCTCCCAACCTTCTCTTCTTGCGTTCCATACACCTTTACAAACCCATTTTCTGTTATTTCCCTACTTCATTCTCATAACAAAACTTGAAGAAAAGAAAAAAGAGTTGATTAAGTAGCAGTCATGGAAGGTTTAATTCCTTATCTGATCCATGCCATGAAGAAAGAAAAACCTACTCACCGTTACCGGTCAATGTCCGTTGGGTCTAGCCGCGGCTACCATTTATTAATGGGTCAGTCACCGGCGGACTCCGTCGAGGGGTCGTTGCATCGGCGGACGAGGTCGGAGTTTCAGCCACCGACGGTGGAGTTTTTCGAGCAAAGGTCGGGTCTTGGTATGGTTAGCCCAAAGGGCAACAACTACGGTTCTTCTTTAAACTACCCTTCAACGGCTGGCGTCGGCGGCTCCAAAGTTGGTTCGTATCAGCGAAACTCAAAGGTGAATAACGTTCTTGTTTCTGATGCTCGACGACGACGATGATCAACTTCGTACAAGAAATTCGAACTGCTTGATTTCAAAGATTTGTTTGTTTCTTTTGTTCTGATTATCAAAGCAAATGATTGTTTTTGTAATTTAATTGTATATTCAAACAGTTTTTACATTATTATGATTTGTGATTAATGTCTGGTTTTGATTTTTTTGGTGATTAATTTTCATTTAGCATCCGAGACTGAAAATTTCTTCTGAAAACCGAAACCAAAGCGTTAGTGTGAAACTAGCATAATTGCGTTTACAAACTCAACAGAAATTGTGAATTTTACGGTGTTTGATTTGTGCTTATTAAAAAAATTTATTGTTCAATTTGACTCGTGATTGTTAAGAAAGTTGTTGTTTGATTTGTTACTAGATTCAACTCTTTAGTTCAAATTAAACATTAATCAAATTGAATTCGAACAGTACGTGAGTTGCTCAACTCATTAAACGCTCTTAATTTCGATTCTAACATGTATTAAATTTTGGTCTTATGTTATTTGAGAAAAAAGAACTTAGATAATAATTTTGGATCAAATATAAATAATAGTAGAAATTAACAAAATGCAATATTATTTATTCTTAGAATAATTTCGAATGTTTACATATCTGACTCATCACAATCAGAATCTGACTTTAATAATAAAAGAAAGTATTGTTCTTTCTTAAATCTCGAGTAGTTATCTCACATTATTAATGGTTGTGAAAGATGGATTAATAAAATTTATGGGATTTTAGTAAAGCAAGGAAGAAGGATACGTGAGGGCCAAATATTAGAACAAAAATCTTCTGCTCCTTTATCATGTCCCTAATTGTGTCCCACCTATCCATTTTTGACATGTGTCTTTTTTTCTTTTCTAACATTTTATTTTAACAGCAGTAAAAGCGTTAACGTTAGTCAAAGTCTACGCATCATCATTTGCGTTTTCTTGTAACTGTAAACAATAAAGAGAGCATCCATCAGAAAAAAAGTAAGCGAAAGAAATGCCAATGGAAATTTGAGATTCTCAGCTCTTTGTACACAAGAAAGGAGAGCATCCATATGAGAATAGCTGTCATCCAGTGAATGATAGAGCTTGAATATCATATTACCAGCTGCATCGCTAGTTAGGTACTAATGTAGAATACAGTCGTCGGATAGAATAAAATCGTAATTGATAATTTGAGAAAATAACAATGAAGATAAATGAGACACAAATTTTACCTGAAAAACCCTTAAATAATATAGGGTAAAATCACGGATATAGGTAGAATAATTTCCCTATGAGAAAATAGGAATTACAACTTCTCCCGATCTAACAAGGAGAAAACAATGACAATATTCTTTTGATAAAAAGTAGAAAACAACTCTTAAGAAAACTCTTTAATTTCTTTAGTATTAGAAGAAAATTGAAATGATTTGGGATGATTTTGAAGCAAAAATGGTTATGTTATTTATAGTTGAAGTTTAAAGACTAATCTTATAAATAGCCTAAAATTTAGGGACTAGTTGGATAATTTTCCCTTACCCATTTTTCAATCAAATCTGCGATAATTTTTGAAAAAATACTCTACAACAATTTAGTGCATTACTGCACTAAAATTGTCTGCCTTTTTTTTACTTTCAACAATCTCTCACTTGAAGATTTGATTGGAACAATCATATCTTTGCTCCATTATTTTTACCTTGTATCATTCATGTTGCTTACGTCTCTAACAGGCCACAAGAGAATCGACATCAAATAAATTTATCAAGATTGATCGTCTTTGTCGTGAAATCTGCTTTGTTGTATTTAGTACGGATTTTCTGTATATATATCGTTTCTTTTTCCACCTTTTCACGAAAGAAATGGTATTGAACTCGTATGTGATTTTTTCTTGAATGAAATGATGGATTCCTTGCTAGATGCAAGGCGTTGTGACTGTCACAAAACAAAATACAAACTCTTGATTGTGCCCGAGCTCTTCTAATAGCATTTTCAACCAAATTGCTTCTTTATTGGCTTCTGTAGCTGTTACGTATTCTGCCTCTTTGTTGTTGATATAACCACAATTGATTGCAGTTTTGAAACCCAACTTACAACTCCACTAGCAACTTTGAACACATATCTTGTAAAAGATTTTCTTTTATCCAAATCCCCTACATATTCAAATCGACATACCCATTAATAAGAAAGTTTGATCATTCGTAACATAATGTAACATTTGAGGTCCCCTTTGATGTATCTCAAGATCCTCTTCACTTCATTCCAATGCTCTTTTCCTGGATTCGTCATGTACCAACTAACCACTCTCACTGCTTGTGCAATGTCTGGTCTTGTGCATATTATAGCGAACATTAAACTTCCCACTACTGATGCATATAGTACTTGAGACATCTTCATACTCTATTCTTCACTTCTAGGACACATACCGGAGGATAGTTTGAAGTTAATAGGAAGAGGGGTAGAAATTGACTTACAATCTTGCATGTTGAATCGAAACAAGATCTTCTTTGAGTAATTCTTTTGTGAATTATAAATCTTCCTATTACTTCTATCTAGGTGAATTTACATCCCTATAATCTTGTTTGCTGGTCCCAAGTCCGTCATTTCAAATTCCCTAGCCACTTGTGCCTTCAAATCTTCAATGTGATTTTTGTTGGGGGCCTGCAACCAACATGTCATCCACATACAACAACAATATAACAAAATCATTATCACCAAACCTCTTGAAGAATCAAATCTCTTATACTAATACATTTGCACCTGCTTTAGACCGTATATAGATTTGTTCAACCTGCAAAATAAGTTCTTCTTTTCTTTTTCTTCAAAACCTTTAGGTTGGAATATGTAAATCTTCTCTTTAAGATATTTATAAAGAAAATTTATTTTAACATCTAGTTGCTCTAGATGTAAGTTCAATGTAGCACACATTGCCAAGACTACTTGAACCATTGTTAGTCGAACCACATGAGAAAAGATTTCATTGAAATCAATACCTTGTTTTTGAGCATATTTGTTGAAAACATTTTTGATGTTTCGATATAACAAATTAAGTATAAATGAATTTTAAGATTTTACAAATGATTTTCTAAGTATATTCGATTTAATTAATCGAATATCAAAATATTACTCTAAGTCTTTCAAGATCAATTTCAAACCTTACTAAATGTGTAAAATTGTGTTTTATACTTAAACTATTTTTGAAACAATTTTCACAAAGTATTTTGAATCAAAATCAAGCCTAAAATCAATTTTTCAAAGTGATGCACCGATGCACCAATCCATGCATCGATGCACCATGGAATTAATTGAACATCGAATGCATTTTATGCATCGATGCACATACCATGCATCGATGCACTCAGTGCATTTGATGCATCGATGCACAAGCCATGCATCGATGCACTCTGGCTATTTTGAAATATCGAATGCATTTTATGCATCGATGCACACTTGGTGCACCGATGAACTAAGTGTCCAACGGTCAAAATATTTGAATTTTACACTTGATGCACCGATGCACCATGGGTATGCATCGATGCACAAACGCTCCCAACTGATTTTATTAATTGTTTTCACACTTAAACGGCTCTATTGACTCCACTAACCATCCTCAACTTTCAAAATCATTTGAAGGAGTATTTAAACAAGTCTAGAAGCCATTGATCAACAATAAGAAAGAAGAAATCATAGAGAAACAAGAGAGAAGGCATCAAACATCAAGTTTGTGCAATTCAAGCCAAATTTCCTTTCAATATTCTTTTTTCTTTCAAAAACACAATTTGTGCTCATTTGTAATTATCTTTGAGTGTTCTTATCTTGTTCTAGAATTGTGAAAACATATTGCCTTGTGAGTTTTTCCTTGTAAGTTTGCAAATTTGTGTATTTCTCTTTAAAAAATAGTGTGCTCAAGAATTGGGGTATAATTCTTGAGAGAGTTGTAAGGTTACTCTTTGTCCTCAAAAGAAAGAACAAATTAGTGAATTTGTTGGAAAATCCTTAGTGTGGATAGCTAAGGTATTGGACGTAGACTTTGGTTGAGAAAGTCGAACCACTTTAAATCGCTATGCAACTTCTTTCATTTTCTGCAAAAAGCTTCTACCAAATTTTAAATTGCCAATTCACCCCCTCTTGGCCGATTCCATCGATCGATTAACTCAACAATTGATATCAGAGCTTCACTCATTTGAAGGTTTAACCGCCGCTTGAGTAGATTCAGGAAGAGTTAAATCGATAAAGATGGTGTCCACTTCCGGTTCATTCTCCATGGAAGAATCCAGACCAATTGACGTGCCTCCACACTTCAACGGAACAAATTATCGTCATTGGAAGAGGTTTATGATGATATTTATCCAAGCATTTGATATGGATGCTAATCGAGAAAGGGTATTCCTCTCCTACGAAAAAGGCAAAGAAGTGAAGTGATCAAGAACGGAAGAAAGCTTAACAAAACACAAAGGCTATGCACATGTTATGTTGTGCAATTGATCCTAATGTATATAAAGGAGTTTCTTCTTGTTCAAGTACCAAGGTAATGTGGGATAAGCTTGAGGAGATCTATGGAGACAAGGAAGAAGAAGAACCAATAAAGGTGATGTCTCTATTAGCTCTCATATAGCCAAATGTATCTTCTAACTCAAATAAATTAAATTCAAAATCTTTTAATGAGTTACAAGATGCTTATGATGAATTATTTTCGAAGTTTGAGACCATGAACTCCAAATATAGGAATTTGATTTTTAAATTTATAGCTAAAAATGATCTTCTTTTTGAAAGTTAAAACAGACTTGGAAAAACAAAATGAAATGTTGAAAAATGAGTCAGAGCTTTCAAAAATAAAATCTGAAAACTTTGAAGAAAAAGGAATTTTCAAATTAAACGAACTTCTTCTAGAAACGAAAATGGATTTTGAAAATCAAAATAAACTCTTGAAGAATTATTTAGAGCTTTCAAAAATGAAAGTTGAAAGTATTGAAAAATAAAATTTTGATTTGAAAGTTAAGCTTGAATGTTTAACAAAAGAAAAGGAGATCATTTTAAATAATTCATCTAGTTCAATAATGAAAATATGTTCA